CTCGAGCATACAATCTGGGAAAAAACTGACAGCACGAACGCCACTAACATCGATTAGCCACTATTTTTTGCAACGTTCCCAGCAGGGCACAGGTGGGATCAAGAGAACCCCATCCTCGAGAGTGTACAACACCCACAACACTCAAACTCTTCTCGATCTCTCTCACGCCCTTCTGCCAAGTCAGGCGTTTCCCACTTCGCGATTTGCACTGTTTTAAAGGAAGTACGGATAGCAACACTCATCTGTGTAGATGGTGTTTTGGTATGCATGGCACAGGACCAGGTCATCGTAGTTGATGATGCTTGATGTTTTCTCCGATTGAAGTACCTGCCGCCCAACCAAACACCCGTTTTCTAGCCACCTTATTACTAACGCGCTGAAGTCATCCAAAACCAGCCACGGTTCTGAAGCATCGGTTGTCGAAAACCTGAAAATGCTTGACATCATCTGTCTGCAGAAGCCATGTCTCACACCCTTACAACAATACACCCCTTACTGTAGCCTGGTGCGCACGACCCTCATGATGTAGCGGGATGCCTTTTTCACGCCACAAGTGACGCAAATTAGCAAACGTGATTCGAGCCTTTGAGACTCTCGCACTGACTTCATCAGACACACTTCCGTCAGAGCTAATACGACTACCAAGGTATGTACAGTTTTCCACAATCCCCAATGATTCTTCTTGAATTGTAAGGGATATGTTTGCAGATGGCTCGTTCTAAAGCATGAATTTGCATTTTGAAGGTGCAAAGGGCATGCCAAATGATGGCATGATTGCGGTCAGTTTATTCAACAGGGCTCGTGCTTCGCTTTGGTTTTCAGAGATAACAGCGATGTAATTTGCTTACTGATAATTGACAAGGCTCTCACCAGCAACAATTTGAACACCGGGGTTTTGAAAACCGTCCAGTGTTTGCCTCATTATCTCATCGATGATGAAGTTGAACAAGAATGGGGAGAGTGGACATCCTTGTCTGACACCACTTTTTGTAGGGAAGCTTTTGGGGAGCTCACCATACACCCTCACCCGCCCAGAAGTATGTGAATATAGAGATCGGATTATGTTTACAAACTTCTGGGGCATACCCTGTTGAGCAAGTGTAGTTAACAGAACTGATCGATCAACAGAATCGAACGCACACTTGAAATCAACAAATACCAGGATTGTGGGTCGTTTGTACATGTGGCGTTGCTCTAACACCTGACGGAGTGTGAAGATGTGGTCATCGGAGCCCCTACCCGGTCGAAATCCCGCTTGCTTCTCACGAGTCAAGACTTAGCGTGCCGCCATAAGACGACAAAGAATCAATGACGCCAGAAGCCTTGTCACAACAGGTATTAAACTAACACTTCTGTGGTTAAAACATTCACTTAGAGTACCGTTTTTGAAAATAGGCACAACTGTCGATTCAGCCCAGTTGTCTGGGATGGTCCCCTTTCCCATCTTCATCCTTTGTTCAACAGGCGCATAAATGCTCCGCCGTATCATCTTCACTTTTCTAAATACTGTTTTGTGTGCAGATTATTCCTCAGCAAAATATAGCAAAATACTCCCTTGCTATGCTCCAAGGACCCACTTGACGTTGCAGCCTTCAATGTCTGAACTCTGTCAAATTGGATGACAACCATCCATTGTGGAATTTTTGCTCTTCTTCTTTCGGTGTATCTACTGTGTCTCCGAACCATACACAAAAGCCACCCCATTGTTCATGCACCTTAAGCTGCTCAGAGTGAGCTCAGATATCCAACCTTCTACTCCTCATTTGTTTGGTAAATTTGAAGCACTGACTAGTTGTATCTACGGCGTCATCGTTGCACAAAGTACCAAGGTCCAATACACTTCGCTGGATCAGATCCATTAAAAGGTAGTTATCCTGTTTTCAGTTTGTATAGTTGCAGTAAGTTCAATGAATTTTGACGCGATAAACGGTGTTCATTTGTTGCATAATCATACACCCTAACAAACTGAAGTTTAAAATTTTAGAAGAACGTGTTTTACAGAGATCTGTCGCAAATGCTTTGATCAGCAAGAAGAACGGATGTGATAATCCTGGCAGGTGATATAAACGCCTCAGTTTGATAAAGGACAGTTATGTGGTAGATTCCAGATGATGGAGGCAAATTCTTAAGTCTCTTAAGTCAACTACCACCAGGCAGTGATTTAGATCATAAGGTTAATAGGTAATAGTAAATACTCTTGACTGAAGATTGCCGTCCCTTCTAATACACAAGTTTGTTTCACTTGTGCTATTGTGTGAGAGTCAATATTACTTCATCCTTCATCAGCGCAACGCAAACAGGAGCAAGTTACGTTGGTTCGTCAACTTTGATGAGTTTCACTAACTCAAAATTATTGATCTGCTCCGAATAAAGAGATACTGGGAATACATCACCATGACAAGGAGTGTCTGAAGGCTGAATAAAATTAATTCAAAGAAACTATGCTTTCTGTCTTTTCAAGTATAAGATGTAATCATGAGCTGGAAGATTGCAGGAGAACACATCTGTAACTCAAAAATTAAGAGTTAGTGCAAGCAACAGCTGCACTTACTTAGATCAACTTGTCAGAAGGAAGGAAATTTCATAAAAATGATTCATGAAAAAAACGGGGTTGTGATTTACTTTGAACTTGCTTTCGGCGACGAGCTAAAGGCGTAAAAGAATACTTCAGCTGACTTCCTCCAAAATAGCCTCCGGAAGAACTCAGCGGACCTGAATTGAACACCGACGCCAGCCCACCGTCGACAAAACAAATCAAGCTTTGTATCAAATTCCTCCAAAGCGATAAGTCACCCTCTCTGGACAACCTGCGCCCCATAATCTTAGCAAGAGTAATGGTGCCCCGGTAAGTAGACGAGGATGTCGGAATACTTTCAGTGTTTCACCATCAGCGTCTTCGGAGCATTGCCCGAATCTGGTGGGAACACCGGATCAGCAATTCTGGAGTAAGTCAAATGGTATTCGGGAGAAATAATTCACCCTTGATAGATGAACTGATCACGCTGCATTGGTTGCGCTGGCTTGGCCACGTGCTGTGTATACCAGTCGACCAAATTCCTTGAAGGGCTCTTTTCGCACAACCATGTGAAGGGTGGAAGAGAGCCAGAGGCGGTCAAACAATGAACTGGCAGCGAAGTATAGAAGCCGTTACCAGCAAACTCAGCTGCGCTGGTCATTGCCGTCTTCCTGAATGGGGACCCCGAGACGGGTCACACCAATGGCTAGAGACATTGTCAGATATGGCCCGGTCGCGCCCTCAATGGCGCTCATGCATCCAAGCTATTGCCTTCAATGCATAGCTCCCCTCCCATCCACCCCCACCTGACAGCCCACTGACAATGCTGGATTTATGTACCAATTTATAATCTCTCGTCTGCAATGCGCAACTACCTACCCCCCTCTAAATCATGGGTGAATAAACTGCGGCAGCTACAACCACTGTACGACGAGTACGTGGTTATTACAGCTGACAGTCATGATGATAATGATGATTCAAGAACAACGGCATCTACAGGGCTCTCGTGCACCATTCTGGGCTCGTTGATCGATTATCGAGAGAAACAAATTTTTGAGAACCAAGGTTGATTTTGCCATGGTCAAGGGTACACCATGTTATACGATTTGCAAAAACGCTACTACTTCAAGCGTACCATTTCGATTTTTTTCTAGGTCTGAAACCTGCCTTTCCCCTGTTGACCATGACAGACTTTGGTACAGTCCAGCAATTTAGCACATTCCCTCCGCATCTATCTCCCCCATGAGGGCACTCTGGGTGTGCGCACCAGTATACAGTAAGTTTTATCCCGAGCTCATCACGACAAGTTCGGTGAAACAAGATAGCCTTTCCTCGCCATTCCTTTTTCAAATTTTTATTGAAATGCTGCTTGAAATTTATATTTACACGTAAAAAACCTCGGATCCCAACGATCCATGGCGTTGGGTCAGTGCCTTTGAATATGCGGACAGTGTCATTCTCCTCATTTTTTACTTTAGGTATTTTAAATTCCCGCACGGTTTATTATGCACTTTACACATACGAAAGGTAAAATACTTCAACATATCTGGGTGACTAATCATTTTTGTCGTCATCATCAACAGGATGACATAAGTGGTCAGAACTGACGGTTTATACCATACAACCATGGTTTATTTCAAAACCTTATTGTGAAGAAATGAATGAAGGTGGGTGGAAACGGGACTTAATGCTAGTCAAGCTCAAGCGTTATGTCACACTTACACGTAAAGACATGCATTCAGGCAGCCTGGATAGAAACAAGGACACCGCTGAGACTGATTAGCAGCCATATATTGCAATACCTCTGACTAGGCGCGGTAGCGGCCCCCATTCAGGAATGTGAGTAGAAACGATAGCACGCAGACTATTTGTAATTTTTCACTCCAATCTGCCAGGTCAAAGGTTAGCTACCTCTCTGCTTTTTCCAATTCAAGTTTGGCACACAAAAAGCCTTCTGTTTGGCAACATGTGACTCAACATCGACAAAACGTGATTTATCTAGCGCAGATTCTGGTGATGAGCACATTCACTAATGGAAGCCCCTGCTGCGCAACCGACTACTCGCATTCTGCTTGTCTTCTTATGGATTCGCCGGCACTAACTCACAAGAGCTGCGGTTCTGTGATAGAAGTTGTGGAATACCTACAGGCATCTCAGTTCTGCTGACGGGATATGTATGATCAAATATAAATATGATGCTCGCAGACCAACATATATGGCAGATAAACTTGTTTTGAAGCTTGTTTTGTAGTTGTGTGAATTTCGATGAGCTTGACAGGAGTCTGCACTGTTACAACCCACGTCGACTAGACAGCTCCAGGTTAACTGATTAGTCTCATCGTCAAGGATCATCACATCTGAAGGTTCCAAATATGCATATTAGTCTCACTTTCCGACTTTATCGCCTTAGATGCAGCCACATTACTGATAGACCCCCCTAGTTTTCGGGTACAAAATCAGGTCTTTCAATCTACAGCATTCCTTTCAACGAGTACTTCTCTAACGGTGACCCTCCTGCTTATTAGATGCCTCTAACTACATGTAGAGAGCCCACTATGCGATTGCAGGGGTGATCCAAATTCAAAAGGGTCTCAAATGTTTGTTTCAACTGTTTCTTTATGATTCTTGGACATCCTTGTTGGCTCCGACTTCTTTTCGTAATTCGCAGCCATATTCCTTGGTTTCTTCCACCC